GCCCTTCACACCGAAGTGGGCGCCGGTGATGGACAAACAGAAATCACATACATGAGGAAGCAGAAGGTCAGAGAGGTTAAGTAACTTGCCCAAGGCCACTCAGCTAGTGAATGGCAAAGGTGGAATGTGAAATGGGCTTCCCACTTCGAAAACAATTCCATGTCCACTCTGATTTGTATGAACCCTATTCAGGCTGCACATCCTTCTCCCACTCTTCCTTCTCCGTGTTATGGTATCGCTGACCGAGGTATTTTCGTTGCTTTGTTTTGGTTCTGCGGACACACTGTAGTCACCTTTTGTGAACCTGGTTGTTACTCACATGTCATGTGCATTGCTTTATTTAATCCTAAACTGTCCTTTAGGATAATTATGTAAACAGAGATGTTCATTTAATCATTTTACTACTTTCTACTTCAGAGAGTAAACTTTTTCTCATCGGTCCCCAAATTCTAGAGAAATCTCTATTGAAGCCCTGTGACCAAACCAGAGCTCTTTCAGGCTAGGGCTTATGCAAAACATTGGCCTTCGTGGAAAATTTGGTTCTTGCTCACTTGGGTCTCAGTTCATGGAAATGTTCATCAACTCAAGAGGCAGGTCATAGATATCCAGACGGGCATGGAAGGCAGCCTATGCCCTCTCTCCCTGTCACCTCACAGCCCTACTGTATCATTTCTTAGTAGGCAGACTGTACTTTGGAAGATGGCGTATACTTTGCACTTCTGCATCTGTTTGTGAGGAAATGACAGTATTTTACGGCATTTGTACCACCGCTGACTGAAGCTCTGATCCTTGATGTGTTTAGTTTTTACTTATGCTCATCTCTACATCAAAAACAGAGGAAGCCACAGGAAATTGCTGCCTGTATTTCCAGGAAATATAACCACCTCACCGGCTCCCCAATCCGCACAGCCCAGAAGACCCCGGTGCAGGCATTGGCATTGCTGATGAGGGTGGTGATAAGCAGGCGGGAGTGTTCTCGTTCTGTCGCTCTGCCAGCAAAAGCCTGAAGATGACAGGCTCTTCAGACTGACAGGAAAACTCTAAATCTCGTTCTTTCAACACTCAGTCTCTGAACATGTAAACGCTATGCATGGAGTGAGGTGTAATTCCAAACCAGAGCGTAGGTGGTCCTCATTCTTTCTGCTCAGGTGTGGCGCCTCCCCCCTGGTGCCCAGGGCTGTGGCCGGCGCTCCCTCTGACCACATGGAAGTGGAACCATCCTAGGAGAGCTCTCACGTTCACCCGCTGATGGGCTCGGGAGATAATGAAGACGATGAAGCGGTGCTGGCCACTGACCCTTCTTTAAAGAACGATTATAACAATGATAACAACTAATATTTATTGAGTGTTGACTGTGGTGTGCCAGGCATTGTACTTAGGACCTGGCATGGGTTGTTTTATTTAATTCAGAGAGTGTTTAATGTCTTGTCCAGGATCACACAGCCAATAGAGAAGGCAGAATTCAAACCCAGACCTGTGTAATTCCACGCCAGCCCTGTAAATACTAGTAGTCAAGTAGATTTCCCGGGGGGTAGGGCTGGGCTGGCAGCCCATGTGCACGGGCAGACAGAGCAGACAAGAGCCACCTGAGCAGACTGAAGAGTGTGCCCAGGGCAGGCTTTCTGTGAAGCTGCCCAGTAACACTCTCACCTGGAAGAAAGTATTGGGTGGCAGTCCAGGGAAGACTGTACCAGGGGGAATGTGTGCCTCTGGGTGCTGGCCAACATCATGAATGCAAGCTCCCAAATACAAAATGGTGCCTTCTCACCTCATCATGATCCCAGCTTCCTAACAGGGCTTTCTTTTCTATTTTAGCCTATATACTCAAACTGTGATTAAAACAGGTATGGGAAATTGGTGTTGTTTCAGTTTCTCTGTGAACTGAAACAAATTTTCATTTAAGCATGAAGTCTCATATCTCACGGATCAAGGAGGTGCTCTGGAAGAGAAGTACCCATAAATATTTGAGGCTTACTGAAGGCCGTCCATTTAACAATACACTACATTATTGCAAAAAGATGTAATTTGACTCCAAAGATGCAGCCTGTTAAAGCCAATAACAAAAAATAAGAACATGAGGCTAGGAGTGAATAAAAGATATCAGGAAGACCATTTATGGACTGGCTAGAGACAGGCCATAAATATCATTTTGAACTTTCTGGCAGGTATTGTGAAGATGAAAAAAGAAGTCTAGTGGAAATGGATTTTCAAAACCGAAAAGGAGAAAAGTTCTCTTAGAATTTTTGCAGAAAAATAGTTTGCAACTCTACACAGGTGTTGGTTTAAAGCATTGATATGCAGCCCTTCTGTACATCTCTCCACATGCCGCTTATTTTTAGGATTAAAAACCCCCACATAGTGTGATTTGTCGTATGTCTACTTCGGAATTATTTCAGGATTGATAATCTGGTTTGTGTATTAACCATCTCTTCATTTCTCTTTTGGGCCTGTTGTTTATGTCCTGGACATTTCTCATTAGTATTTCTGCTAAGTGATAAGCAGGGAAAAGAAAAATAAACACACAACTCTAGCCATCAGTTTTGTTATTTACAGAGGTGCGTTCTATGCCTTTTTAGCTAGTGGGAATTTCAAGAGAGATCTCTCTGTATTAGTCTACTAATAGAGCTCCCAACTGTCTTGGAGCTCAGCTGGCGTCCGTGTGTGTGTTTAGTGACCCCCACCTGGGCCACAGGTGAAGGCAGGCAGCGGGGAGAGGCCTGCAGAGGTAGGTTTGGCCCCATTATACCCGAGGTAAAGGCCACTCCTGAATGTATACAGAATGTGAAAGGGTGGAAACTTGTACTCATTTGCCAGGGCTGCCATAGCAAAGTACCTCAGGCTGGGTGGCTTAAACAATAGAAATTTATTTTCTTACACTTCTAGAGGCTCTAAGGTGTCAGCAGGGTTAATTTTTTTTCCTGAGGGCCTTTCTCCTTGGCTGATAAATGGCTGAAGATCATGTGATCTTCTCAGTGTGCGTGTCTATATCCTAATCTCTTCCTATAAGAACACCAGTTACATTGGATTAGGGCCAACCCTAGTGACCTTATTTAACTTTAAATACCTCTTTAGTCCCTGACTCTAAATACAGTCACATTCTCGGGGTTAGGGTTCCAACATATGAATTTGGGGTGGGGGGAGATACAACTCAGTCCATAACAAAACTGCTGATTAAAACAAGATGTTTGGACTACCTAGATTTCAATGATACATGTTTCTCTCTTCAGTTATAAAGAATTGAAAGTGTTGCAAGATACCCTGTTGTATATTTGTGCCCTTAGACATCTAGGATCTCAGTGAGGATTTGCATGTATGTGCATATGGGTTTTTTAAAAATATATTTTTATTGCTTTCAGAGAGGAATGGAGAGGGAGGGAGGGAGGGGGAAAGAGAGAGAGAGAGAGAGAGAGAGAGAGAGAGAGAGAGAGAGAGACATTGATGATGAGAGATGATCATTGATAGGCTGCCTCCTGCATGCCCCCTATTGGGGATCAAGCCTGCAACCCAGGTATGTGCCCTGACCAGGAATCGAACCATGACCTCTTGGTTCATAGGTCGACGCTCAACCACTGAGCCATGCCAGCTGGGCTATGTACATGTGTGTGTTTTTTCTTTTGAATCAAATATACTGTGTCTATTGAAAGTTCGAAGATCAGTGCCTTTCCTCCTGTTCAGCAAATAATAATGCCTAGCTTTTACTAGAGTCCTTTTCATCTCCGAGGCTCTCTTAAAAATGGACTAATTAAGGAAAAATGGAGTAAGTCTAGCTAAATAGCCTCTCTTTGAGGACCAGCCCAATAGACTTAGAATATACAGTGATTTGCTGTATCTTTAAAAACAGAAGCAACTAGAAATCTTTTATTATTGGCTATAGTAGCAAGTGGCATCTCTTATATGTTTAGCAGCTGACACATCACATTGCATTTTAGTTGGTTGTTATACATGAAATAGGATATGAGTAGGCTAAAAGTGAGAATTTACAGCCCTGGGACTTGAATATCTGACATCTGGGAGTTACCATGACAACTCATCATGATGTTGCTCTGTAATCTTTTGGATTAGGTTCCAGCCCAGGATCACTGGATTGGAATTGGAGGGGGGATTGGTAATAGGACATGAATGCTTTACCTTTACTAAATGGTATTTGAATTTGTAGTTTGATCATGTTGCTAAAGTCAGGCAGAAATGACTTTGAGGGAATATGTAAATTCTGCAGACCCTAGACAAGGTCACATTTGTCAGCAAGAATATTCAGATGGAGTGGACTGAGACTCAGCAACTGAAAGACAGGATTTCCTGTGCTTGGTCGCTGGATATAAAATATGCGTGTATCCCTTAATATATGTACATCCCTGAACAGTTATATATAAATGAAAATTTAGGAAATTAAACCCTTTTTATAAATGTTATAAAGTTGGAACTGAACATGCCCCCAGAAAGTAATTTGGCCACAGAGTAAACCACAGCTGCTTTCTAGTGTTCCATATCCTCCGTCTCAGCCGGAAATGGCCTGTAGGGTGTGGAATTTGGACCCTGGAAGGGAATTGGGCAGAGCGAGGAAGGAAGCGGTTGGAAAACTGGGCACCACATTCCTGTCCTCACGTTGGCCTTGGCCACAAGTACCACATCTCCCAGATGACAGTGTGCCTCTCAGACACATTCCTCACCAGGGATGATGGATGGAAGCAACCTGGAAACTAAAGAGCTCGGCCCTCAGTCTGCTCCCAGGTCTGCCACTGACTGTGTGATCTTGGACAAAACCCAGTTCATCCCTGGTTCCCCCTGGAAATGAGTTTTCTCTGCTATTGAATTCTGCTATTTATCATCATGTTGGGGCAAGGCCAGGTCACCACATTTCTTTGCCATTAAGCCCACATTTTCGTCATCACTTTACAGTAGAACTAGCCTTCCCTGGTTAGCGGGAACCTCTAATAATTAAGAGAAAGCAAAAGGATTCCTCCCTGTCCCCCCATCATTTTTTAGGTTTTATTTCTGAAGCAAAAGCTGCCATGCAGTGAGGAGAGGATGAAATCCTAGACAGAAGACAGCCAGTTACAGTAAGTTTTCCCACTACCATTGTCATCAGCATCAGCTTACCTAATATCTAGTGAGCATTTTTATATGGAGAGAGTGCTAAGCGCTTTATATACATTATACAACATATATACACGTGTGTATGTATGTGATATAGTATATAAAATTTAATTCTTACAACAAATACACACGTGTGTATGTATATCATATAGTATATAAAATTGAGCCTTTGCTATGTGCCTTTTGTTATGTTAAAACCTCACAATGACCCAATGAAGTAGATAAATGGATTGTCAGTTAAGCATCACAACAAAGGAGGTGTTATCAATTAGTTCCATTTTTACAAATAAGGAAACTGAGCCATAGCTAATAACTGGTAAAGCAGGGATCTGATGAAGTGGTACAGCCTGAGAGTCCTTCCTCATAATCTCTCTGCTCATGGTTCTCCACACTCGTATAACAGTAACAGTCACCTGGGGAGCTTTTAAAATATGTGGGTCCCAGGACTCCACTCAGCATCAGTCAGCTATCTGGGGTTGGAGGCTGTACCTGGGTATGCTGATAAGCAGCCAGGGTTGGGAACCACTGCCTCAGATAGAACACTGGGTTATGCGGTTGGGTAGTTGCCTATAGCCCCACAACCAGCAGATGACCAGCCTGGACCTTACATCCAGGCTGCTGACTTGAAAGCCCAGAACCTTGTCAGCACAGTGGCCTACATTCCAGTTATCATTGTTGTTATCAGGGCTCATACCTGCCATCATGCCTTGTTTTCCTTTCCTAGTCTAAATCCCAAAGTCACAAGTTCATTCAGAATCTTTTAAAGACTGTGTGATAGACCACAGTAGGATAATCAGAGAAGAGACTTCTTCTTTGAACCAAAGTAGTGATTTCACATGTAAAAGTATCAAAGTTAACTCATCACCATCACCAACTTTAATGTTAAGTTATTGTGACCTTTCCTCATTGAGTGGAACCTCCCACCAATAGAGTCCAGGACAGTGGCTCCAAAGCCTTAGGCATTTTGCAGTCACTCGGGCATCTTTAAAACCCCGGCCTGGCTCCCGCCTTAGACATTCTGATTTTGTTGGTAAGTGACCTGGGCAATGGGATTTTTAAAGCTCTCCAGATGACTCCGATGTGCAGCAGAGTTTGGATGGGTGGTTTAAGAACTTGGTCTGTAAGGTCACAGGTGTGTTGACTGTGGTGTCACCTCTGGGGACTGAATTTACTTTTCACCTCTTTGAAAGGGTCTCACTGTGGTCCTCTTTTTCATTTTAGCCCGTGTGATTAATTTGTATTTAATTCCTCTCAGTTTACATGACTCGGAATTCTACCTTGATGTCAAATGATGGTTGCTCCCCAAAGTTGTTCTTAGGGTTAGGCTCTTCAAGTGATACTGGTGACATGTCTGTGAGATATCTTTGTAAGGGTTCAGCCTCATTGGACTCTTTCAGTATGTGATGTATTTCTTTTTAAATTGTCTTACCTTTTAAAACATTTTTATGATTTTAATAGATGTCACCTTTTTCTTCCAAGAGCAAAATAAACACATCTTCCACATAATGCTTCAGGATAATAAACCACTTACAGAACTTTCCCCATACCTATAGTTGACCATCAGATTTCACTATTGGGAGACAGCTGACATGCCTATAATGCTTAACAGTTGATAAAATCTTACAGCTAGAAATATGGTGGAAAGTTGGAGATTCAGACTTAATCCTCAGAGAGCTTAGAAAAGTCAGATTAACTTAATAGCCTAAAAAATACAGTTGAATTATTAAAGCAGAAGGGGTAAATTTGTTGACAAGTTTGCAAATGTACTTGATTAATCTGGAAATTCATTTTGCAGTGGATACTAGGTCTTAAACTGAGGTTTTTAAGATGATTTTCTTGGGTGGGTATGGGGGCAGGTAATTTGCAATATAGACCAACTTTTGGCAAAGGCTGGGCGATAGAGAATGGAACATTGCAGGACTGTAGGCCAGAAAGGTATAGCTGAGTTGGAGCTAGTTGTGTGAGATTTAAAACAAGAATACTTCGGAAGAGCTGAAAAAGAAAGAAAGAGAGAAAGGTATATTAGAAGGAGCTTCTGTTTTCTTTTTTGTGGTTGGTGAAGTCCAGTTGGCCTGTGATTGTGCTGGTGGTGTGGATCCTGAAGAAGGCATGTCATTGGGATTGGTTATTATGTTTTTCTTGAGGGAAAGCCTTTTGAAATTCTTAGGTTTAAAAATTTCTCATTCTGAAGTCTTGTCTACATCTTGCTGCTGTAATCCCTAAGCAAAGAAGGGGGGGGGGCGGGTAGGACGCCTCACTTTTGAAGCGCAAGGGTCAGAGCAGGAAGGGGGCTGTCACGGTTGTTTCTCTTTGTTCAGGAATTAGAACATGTGAGCAAGTGGTTCCACCCCTCACTTTGTGAGCTGTTTTCCTCCGATATTTCCTAATTTTTCCCATGACGTTTCAGCCTGTTTCTTCACAAGATTGTAAGGCCTGAAAGACCCCATTGTTTTGCAGGAGTGCGGGCCTGTACATATTTGCTGATCTGGCTGGCTGGGGTCTGAGTGTGGGTGGGAGTGGCGGAGGGAGAATGCAGACTGGAGAATGTGTGGAGCATATTTCTGATAGTAGCAAACACTTTCTGTTTATCAGGAGTTTATAGAAGCTTTTTCTTCATACTTTTAAGTATTTTTTCCAAATGACAGTCTGCCCTGATGGACAGAAATAGGGTCATTCCATTAGGCTAAGGAACGTTTCTCAAGGTCAAATCAAATGGATGAAGGCCTTATACAAACTACACTGCTTCTGCAGATAAATGCAAAACTTTTGTTCTTGTAAACACACACACACTCCTTGAAGGCCTGCCCAGGATTCATGTGAGCTCTTGGGGTTTTGCAGCCCTGCATATTCTGCATCACAAATCTTAGTCCAAGTGTACTTCTTGAGGGTACAAAATGTTTCTAGTGGGAGGAGAAAAGCAAAATGCAATAAGAGAGAAACCCTAGCTAAAAGCTAAGTAGATTTTTGAGCAAAGGAAATTGGGAGTTAATGCTAATGAGGTCTTATTTAAATAAAGTTAGTAGTATATTGTCTTTGTGTCAGGTTTACAAAATTCTACATCATTTAAAAATGTCCTCACTAGCAGCAGTTACCTTGACCCTAAAGTTAGTGTTGTGCGTTGATGGTGCACGTCTCTTCTTAACTCTGTGTTCAGCAAGTGGTGTGGAAAGCCTGCAGTCAGCCAGGGTGGGAGTATTTACACCATGGAAATCAGCAAACACTCCAAATGGAGCTCTCACCATCAGAGCCTGTTTTTCAACATTTAGCAGCACACCACTGCCCAAAGTGGAATTTAAAATTCAAGGAGTCTTCTCCTGAGGCAAGTAATGTAGTATTACCACTCAACATAACAGCCAGTGTGAACCTTTTAAAATATAAACCAGGCCTTCTGGCTTCTCTACCCGGAAACCCTCCATGGCTTCCCATTTCACCGGGAGAAAGTCGCACTATGACCTGAGAGCTCCCTGTGCTCTGACTGCCCTTGGCTCCTCTTTCCTCATCTCCACCACTCTCCTCCTCCTCCTGTTCTTACCTCCAGACCCTGCTCCTGCCCCAGGGCCTTTCCTCTGTGCGTCAGAATCACCATCACCTGGAGGGCTTGTTAATACATACAGTTGGGCCCCACTCCATCATTTCTGGGCCAGTAACAAATTTCCAAGTGATGCTGTGGTCCACTGCCCTATTAGAGACCCACTGCTCTAACTCACCTTCCCTTGGCTTACCTCTCACCTGCTTCAACTCAGTCTTCCACTTTTACCTGTTCACCCACACTGACCATTCTATTTAAAATTGCAGCCTTCCTCCACCCCATTCCAGTTCCTCTGTCCCCAATTTTTTGTATTGTACCAATACCTTATAACAAAAATAACTTATTATGTTTCTTGTTTGTGCTTATTGTCTGTCTCCCCCCACCCCCCGCCCGCCCCACTGGATTCTAAATTCCACGAAGGTAGGAGATTTTGTCTTATTTTCTTCACTAAGTATCCCAAGTCTCTGGAATAGTGCCTGACACATAGTAGGTGCTCAATAAGTATTGTGGAGTGAATTAGAGAATGAACAACATTGAAAAATGAATAATGTACTTCAGATCTGGGCCTCAGCCTCATTAATTCTAACTCACTAGAGAATCTTAAAACATGTTCTGCAGTTTGTGTCGCAGCTTCACTCCTTTTAGGTAATAAGGGGATGGTATCTGCCCTCAGCTAAAGATTGGGAATGACTTGATGATCCTTAAATAATAGGTGCACTAAAAGATTGCTCTTAGATTTAAATTTTAACCTCAAAAGCCCTAAGCGAGTGGTCTTCAAATTCTGGTCTGCACAAGTTCCCTAAGATACTTGAGGGTCTCTGCAAACGTTTAATTTGCATTTCATTTTTAATATATTTTAAACAGTGTTTATAACCATAATAAAAACATGTACATACTTTAACATATTATGTATCAAATTTTAACATATTTGGACCACCAATGCATTGGACTAACAAGTTAAGTTTGAAATTAAGTGTTTTTTGCTATTTTAACTTATACATTTGAACTGCTCATAAATGAGTCATTGGTAAAGAAGTTCTGTACCAGTGTCTTTCAGCTTCCAACCTGATTAGAAATTGAATAAGGAAATTCCTCCTGTTGGACATGGTCAGCACGCCCAACTACGTGCCAGGCAGGATTCGGGAGCCTCTGTTGGGTGTAGACCTCTGTGTGGGTTAATGGGCAGTTGAACAAACGCAGTACACATCACTGAGTGACACATGTTGTTCCAGGGTCCAGGCTGCCCACTCCACATTTTGCTTGCTCCTTGACTGATTGTTAAAGAAATCAAGTAGTTGCCAGATTACCATTAGTGATTAAAAATGAAATTTAAAAGATTTTAACTACTGCATTTTTGCAGGCATTTGGGTTAGTTTGAGGCATGTCACGAGGTTACAAAATCAGTCACTAAAGAACTGTTATCATCTCCAGTAT